CACCCGTTTTTCAGCTTATCACCCTGCGGTTCATCTCACACCTCATTAAATCTATTTGTTGTACCTGCTTTACTCGTAATGATGATGATGATGATGGGTTACTTGTTACGAGCGGCTATGTAAGTGAGTGTCAAGTGCACTTACGGAGAGGACAGCCCCCTTACTGTGCGGATTACGCGATTCGAGCACTTCTACCCTGTCTCGTCCCGCTCTTATTCTCGAGGGATACGGTAACAGGTCAGAACTCTTCGGGAGCTGGCAAGATTTCCATGTCGTGACTGCTCACATCCGCGCTGGCGACGATAGAGCGAAGCCGGACACGCGGCGACGTCGACGACGGAAGTTTCGCCTCGTAATTACTACCGGCCTCGTCTATTGATAGGTTTTGCTATGGCCTTGGGCTGACGGAATCGATATGAAGTATTGATTCTGTGTGGAAATGTGGAAATTGGATAGAAGAGAGAAATTCCAAGAGAAATTTTTATAATTGTGGGTATCAGATGCAATAATAAATCGACTTCTGTATCTATGAAGTTCTCAAATTGAATATAAAAATAAAAGGAACAAATCAAGCAAACTCTCACAGTTCTGTCTAAAAAAAACTCAAATTAGGAGAAAATATAGGAGATTATGTCAGCACTCACTACATTTCGTGCCCCTATAAAATTACTGGTTGAAACAGAAATTTTCAAAGGGTAAGCAATCACTCTTGCATTTCACCCATTCTCTCTGTATTCCTTTCGTTCACACATTCACACATTTTTTTTTAAATTTGTTTACTCATTCATTCATTCCCACAGCAAAAAAAAGTTTCTTTTTTAAAATTATAAGTGAATTAAGACTTTATGATACTTATCAACTATGAGTTATAGTCTAAACTTCATCGAAAAGGGGTGAGAATCAAATGTCGTAAAATTCAATTCAGAAATTCAGGGAAGAGACCATAACATCAAATAAAAATTGCTTTTACAAAAGTAAAGAAATGAAGAAGGGAAAAGGTAGAAATTTTGAATTTTTTCTTAAAAAGAATCAAAGCTCGTAACTGGACGTATTTTGTTTCTCCTACTAACGTTCTACATGTCACCTACTCTCTTCAAAAGGGTAACCCGACCCCTCACTACCTGGTGCAAATCCTTTATTCTTTCCAATCTTCAAACAACCTATCCGCCTAGGTGCATGCGATACCATATGGTCGATTCACCTGCGCCGCTCGATTCCGGAGCCACGTTCGGCGAGCTTCCGCTTTCGAGCCACCGCTCTCCTGTAATTATCCTCACGTAACCCCCGTCTACCTACCTTATAGAATTTCTCGATTTCTGGGTGCAGTTCTTTTCAAAGTCAAGTTCACTTCAGCGACTTACCCCTTCGCTCATGTCGCTCCCTCGAAAAACATCAAGTCGAGTTGTCGAGAGCGTCAGGCTGCTGCATTGTCTGCGGCCCAGCGCTACCGTATACCCAGCCAGTCATGGGAAAAAAAGCGTTCCAGCGCAGAGGAACAGAGTTTGTTTTCGTCTTTTTTTCCGCTCCATCGCAGTTCTACTCCATCTATGGAATATGGTATGTATGCTGTGCAGTGCTACTACCGTGTATGTGGTGTGTGTGTATGTGTGTTGGATGTTGGTTAGAGTTGAATCGAGCAGGCGGCTGCCACAAATAATTGCCCGTCTCTGCCGCCTCTTTCCCCACTCTATAATTGCATACCGCCATCGTTGTATGCTGTGCTAGTGAGAATCCATGCCGCATCCCTTCCCTCCATAGTCATTTTGATATACGAATCAATATAAAGCCATGCAAGGGATTACTGTAGCACTGAAATCGCCCTCCAAAAAGATAAGGCTAAGCACCCGCTGAGCTCTCGCAGCAGGTGGTGACAGTGTGCGCGGCGCCATCGGCAAAGAACCCGAGGTGGCGCCGGCGGTACTGGCGCCACCTGCAGACACTTGCAACTTTAAGATGTGGCGTTTAGGAGCTTGGGGATATATTCTGACGCCTTCAGAGGGGCAGATTCAGAGGTGACGAGTGTGAACGATTTGGTAACCGTTGGTACTGCTATAAGCAATGGAGCACGGTTTTTGGGACTTTCATTACTCCAATTTTTCACAAGAATTTAATTTGAGAAAAAAAATATCTATCAGGATAAGCATACATATAGTCAAGCTATAGAGTTTAATAAAAAATATAAATTGCTGTTTGCTCTGTTAGAAATT